TAGGTCGACCGAAAAGTGCATGTCACCGTAGCAAAGTCCTAATTAAAGCCTAAACCAAAAATACCAGAAGGACCATCAACCAACCACTTTCAAGTAACCACTATAGTCACTAATCTACACAATAAATAAAAGCCAAATGAGAAAACTTGAAGCCCCATTTCAAATTTCATGCATCGAGAGTGAAAGTAGGAAGAACATTTTGGTCTTCACAATTAATTTTTTTTATTCATTAAAAATACACTTACTAGGATTTGAACCATGACCACTTTAAAGAAAAGCAAAGATCATAACCAATCACACTAAGTACATTTGTTGTATTTTTTAAATTAAAAACATATAATCGCAGAGATGGAAAAACCCTTCCCCCATTTCAAATTCCTTGCTCTAGGAGCGTTTGTAGGAAATGTAGAGTAGGGAGTGTCAATTTCTTTCTTTTTCCTCTGTGGAACGGGCCAACTTACCGTACACATGCGGATTTAAACGGGTCCAGGAGTGTCAATTTTTTTCTTTAAGTACTTTTATTTCTCCGTGGTGGTAAAATATATATGAAAAGGAAAAAACAATACTCCTTTTTATTGCTAAAAAAAATTAATAATAAACTAATGCATGGATTCTAATGGGCTAACCGCTAATCATAAAATAAAAGAGTTGAATGGGTCTGACCTACACGGGATTTGCCAATCAAGTAAAACAAATGAACATCATGAGTTTGCCATTCTAAAACAAGCTATTTTCTCTAGCATAATATATATTATGCTATTATTTTATATCTTAGTGGCTAAAATATAATGTATTTTAAAGTTATTCAATGGTTCAATCTCGACCAACCCAATTAGTCCAATTTTTATAATTTCAAATATACATTATGTAATTATTTGATATCATAATGATTAAATTATAGAGTATATTATAGTGCATTGTTTGGTATTTGTTAGCAGGGGCGGACCTAGGGCAAGGGGAGGGGTGTCATCCGACACCCCTCCGCTCGAAAATTTTGTGAAGGACCTCCATTTTTTCGATACAAAATTTTTTAATTTGGAACTTCCGACACCGCTCTAATAATTATAAGCGACACACTTTCATTATATGACAATAGTTTTAATGTTATAAAGTTATTCGTCATAATTAGTAATTAACAATAATAAGTAAAATCAAATAAGCATGCTTGTTTTAAGTAACCCACAACCCAATTTAACTTATTGATTTGTCGTTAATAGGTGAATTGCCTATATTTATGGGAGATTGTGGTTTGATTTTGTTTAATTTGATAGAACTAGAGAAAAAATGCTAATGATATTACTTAGGCATACTTTGTTTTTTCTAAAATAGCCGATTGGTAGCAAACTAATTTATTTTAATTTAATTTGATTTTAGACGTAGGTCGATTCTCTTTAGTTGAGTGACTAATTTATGAATGATTATGTAGTTGTGTATATCGAAAAAGGTTTGATTTGCAACATAAACGATGAATGTATTTTAAAAAAATCTCAAATATGAAAAATCGTCATAATTCGTAGTAAACATGAGGTTGTGAACTTATAAATAAATTTCCAGTAATTTCTATTAAATTTTTATTTCATTATCTTAATTATTATAATTTTTATCGGCGACACCCCTCTTCAATAATCCTGGGTCCGCCACTGTTTGTTAGTAAAAAACTAAACAGAAAGATCTATTTGGTTATTTTGGGTTAATATTTTTGTATGGCCTGAACTTTGACCAAAATAAACATCTTGGTCAATCTTTTCGATCTATAACATCCTGGCCCGAACTATACACCAAAATAACCAATTTGGCCAGATCCGACTTTTGACCGTTAACTTGGACGGTCAAAGGCGTTGACCGTTAGTCAACGCGCCATGTCATTGCCAAATCAGCATAAAATATTTAAAATAATTCACAATTTCCACACATTCCCTAATTTTAAATTATTATAAATTAAAAAAAATCATCTAATACCTTAGTTAAATAAAAAATAAAAAACGAAAAAAATTAAATATTTATCAGATCTTCTGACTTGGCAGTGACATGGCGCATTGACCGTTAGTCAACGCGTTTGACCGTCCAAGTTAACGGTCAAACATCGAGTTTGGCCAAATTGTTTATTTTGGTGTATAGTTCGAGCCAGGATGTTATAGATCGAAAAGATTGGCAAGGATGTTTATTTTGGTCAAAGTTCAGGCCATACGAAAATATTAACCCTTATTTTTAACATTAAAACGATCCTAAACATTTTCAGTTTCCTTTCGAAATTCTATAGTTTTATTCCCGAATCAGTGATGTGCAAATGGCGAGCTCCAGTCATCTCTTTTCTTTCATTATTTTTTATTTTCAAATAGAAAGTTTAAAAGTAAAGAAGAATTAGAGTTTGACATAGGCCGGTCAAAGAGGCTGAATTTCAAATTTTGACCCGTTTTGATCAAGTCTAATTTATAATCACTTGGTTCCTTGATACCCGATAAAAATCTCAATCCAAACCAGTTTGGCAGGTGAGTCCGTGTTTACCACCATTCTCTAGGGATACAAGAACGGTGGTTCGTATCCCAAATCGTGTTGTTCATTCTTAATTTCTTTAGATTTTATCATGACTTGGCAAAAAACCAGAAAGCACAAGGATGACAAGATGAACCTTTTATAAAGCAAATTAATCGGCCAACGGGCCAGCTAGCAACGATTGTGAGATGCTCATTTCCCGAAAATCGGCGGGATAGGCGATTTTTTATTCGATTTTCTGGAATTCGGTTTCTATAAAACTTACTCCACCTCATCATATTACCAGAAACAATATTGTTTCACAAGGTAACAGGTACTTGATTTTGGTTCATAAGACTGATTTTTTGATTCGTTGCATCATTCATGTCTCTTTTCTACTAAAATTCACTATTTTTATAATGTGTTTCCCAAAAAAAAACTATACAAAAATAAGCTATACACCCCATTACATTATCAAATTTCATACCTCACCTTCTATTCTTCTAAGAATTTAGTATCCCATCCAACTAACCACTATAGTCTATTCTTCTAAGTTCCCATTCTTGCTAGTAAATAAATATATTTATTAATTTTAGTTATTCAACCGGCACGGTACTAAACGATTATATGATGATTGAATTCCCAACAAAAAGTTCACAGAAAAGTCGCCAATAAAGGGGATTTTTCGAGAAATAGCACTGTATAAAAAAAATCCAAAAATAGCACCCAACTCCGAAAATTTCCAAAAATAGCACCATTTCCAAAAACCGCCACCCGTACTAGCGGTTTAGGTGAAAACCGCCACCTGGGGCACGTTTTTCGATGAAAACCGCACTGGTAGGGGGCACTTTTGCAAACCGCACCCCCACCATGCGGTTTGGTTGCAGACCGTACCTCCACCATGCGGTCTGTTTTTTTTTTCTTATAATGTGTTCGGGTATCCGATCGTCGCGATTTTTTTATTTATTCCGCATAGCCTTTTGAGATCTTGCAAGTTGAAGATTGCAGAAGGTGGTTTGGTCCAGCCTTCGTCCCAAAAAAATACCCCGAACGAGCTTTTTTCCGATTTCGTCAAACTTTGGACAACCATAGCTTTGTGCTTCAAAATCCAAACGACATGAATTTTTTTTATTTCGCATAAATTTTTAAGGAATACAACTTTTATCATAGACATAGTTTCGAAATGTACGTGGATTGCTGAAATGGGAAGGTAAGCTATTCCAAAAATCCTGTATATCCAAAAAGCGGGCGCAATATTTTCGAAATGTACGTTCGGATTTTGGAGCACAAAGTTATGGTTGTTTAAAGTTATTGAGCTCCAAAATCCGAACTTCATGAATTTTTTTTCATTTCGCATAACTTTTTAAGGACTACAATTTTTACTAGAAATGAATTTTCAAAACATGAATTATTTTTGGATATACAGGATTTTGGGAATAGCTTACCTTCCCTTTTCAGCAATCCACGTACATTTTAAAATTATGTCTATGATAAAATTTGTATAAAAAAAATTCATGCCGTTTAGATATTTGAGCACAAAGTTATGGTTGTCCAAAGTTTGACGAAATCGGAAAAAAGCTCGTTCGGGGTAGCAAACGACATTTTTTCGGGATGAAGGCGGGGGAACAAACCACCTTCAGCAATATTCGGCTTACAAGATCTCAAAAATTTATGTGGAATAAAAAAATCGCGACGATCGGATACCCGAATAGAAAGATACGTTTATTTGAAGTTTCCACCTAGGTTAGGATTTTTCAAAAAAAAAAAAAAAACAAAAGACTGCATGATGGGGGTGCAGTCTGCAAACAAACCGCATGGTGGGGGTGCGGTCTTCAAAACCGCCCCCTACCAGTGCGGTTTTCATAGAAAAACACGCCCCCGGGTGGTGGTTTTCCCCTAAACCGCTAGTACGGGTGGCGGTTTTTGGGAAATTGTGTTATTTTTGGAATTTTCGGAGTTGGGTTCTATTTTTGGAATTTTTAAAACAATGCTATTTATGGAAAAATCCCCCAATAGAGAGAAAATGGGTAAATGCCACATTTGGTCATTGAGATTACTAAATCATGTCATGTTTAGTTACTAGAAAAAATTAATATCAATTTTAGTCACCCGAATTACTAAAACATGTCACATTTAGTCACTCTCCCCTCAGTTTCGGCCAACTTCATTAACAGAGTTGGACGGAGGCTAACGAAGAGTGACTAAATGTAACATGGTTTAGTAATTCGAGTGACATTCATAAAAAAAAAAAGTAATTAGAGTGACCGAGTTGAAGGGAGGCTAACCGGAGAGTGACTAAATGTGACATGTTTTAGTAATTCGAGTGAACAAAATTGATATTAATTTTTTCTAGTGAATATAACACTATTTAGTAATCCCAAAGAATAATTGTGGTTTACCGGGGGAAAATAGCTCGGAGAAATAGACGGCCATAATGTGTGGGCTCACGTCTCGTGTGAATTGACTATTGGGCCTTCCTGTCCAACTTCGAAGCTTCTTATAAAGTCGTTGGCGCACAATTACATTTATGCCCCCTTAGCCCCTTTCTCTCACCCTTCGCTGCCTTCCACTGGCGGTTACTCACCGTGGGCCGTGGCTTCTTAGTTCTTACACCCTCCATTTCTTGTTAGATCCGGACCAGAAAACTCAAGTAGAGTCAAATTGAGGGAGAGGAAGGAAGGAAGGAAGGAAGGAAGAAGATGTTGCTCAACGTAATCGAGGACGAAGAGAAATGGCTGGCGGAAGGAATCGCCAGCGTTCAGCAGAATGCCTTATTCATGCATCGCGCTCTGGTACTTCTCTTTCTCGAGATCAGTTTATCGGTCTACTTCTCTGTTCTCTTCTCGCTCCGTTGAATCGGTCCGGCGATGGAAAACCTAATTTTCGATTGTTTCTTCGTCTTCTCAGGACGCTAATAACCTCAGAGATGCTCTCAAGTACTCAGCTCAGATGCTTTCCGAGCTCCGGACGTCGAAGCTCTCGCCTCACAAGTACTACGAGCTCTGTAATTCACTCGCTCTCTGAACTCTCTTCAAACTTGGAATTATGATTTTGTTTGATCGAATCGAAGTGATTTTAGATGCTGATTGAATAATATTGCCATGAATTTGCAGATATGCGAGCGTTTGATGAGATGAGGAAGCTGGAGATGTTCTTCAAGGACGAGAGCAGGCATGGAGTCTCGGTCGTCGATTTGTATGAGCTTGTACACCACGCAGGCAACATATTGCCTAGACTGTAAGTGTTTTCTTACCAGTGCCTGGGTTGGGGTAATTGACTGTTGAAGCTCCTCTTAGAATAAATATGAATTTCGCGAGCGCTAGTTTGGTGGCTTGTGAAGCTGAAACGTGGTATTCGTTACCAGGTATCTACTCTGTACGGTTGGATCAGTGTATATGAAAACAAAGGAAGCTCCACCCAAAGACGTGCTTAAGGATCTTGTGGAAATGTGTAAAGGCGTTCAGCATCCAGTTCGTGGATTGTTTCTTAGAAGTTACCTCGTTCAAGTCAGTAGGGACAAGTTGCCTGATATTGGTGCTGAATATGAAAGGTAAACAGGTTTATTCGTTGATGATTCTTCACAAATGGAGCTGTACCTTGAAATTGTAAAAGAAAACCCACTTTTATGCTTGCTGATTACTGGTTTAGCGCTTTAGGCAGTGAAAATCTATGAGGAAAGAATGATATATGGTTCAGAAATGACAAAGAATTGCTGAGCTAATCATGGTGAGATATGTAATAGAGTGATTCGTGTGATATCTGGAATATAAGTATATTGCAAAAAATATCATTTGAATCACTTCGCTACATGGCATCTTAATGCTGTAATTCGCTTCTGATCTTTTCTCACATTAATTTTGATGTGTCAATTTCAGAGATAGAGATGAAAGCTCTGTCATGGATGCTATAGAATTTGTGCTGCAGAATTTCGTTGAGATGAATAAACTTTGGGTCCGATTGCACCATCAGGTTTGATGTTTATCTCTATTTCTTGTCTCTGTTGCCATGTTGTTTAGATGATAGCACCATGATACTTGATTTTGCATGCCATACAGGTAAAAATGAATCATGAGAACATGATTTTTTGGCTATGCAGGGTATTTTGGTGCTTGTGATCATTCATACTCTTTGGTGATCTGAGTTGAGGACTTCAATTGGGCTTTCTGGTCTGCAGGGACCTGGTCAGGATAGAGACAAGCGAGAAAAGGAAAGAAGCGAGCTCCGTGATCTTGTAATAATCTGATGTCATGCCTGTCAGTCCAGAAACATCAAACATTATGCAGTTGGTGCAGTTTCCTGTATAAGTGATACATGTACCTTTGCTCTTGTTAGGTGGGGAAGAATCTTCATATTCTTGGTCAACTAGATGGTGTGGACCTTGAAATGTATAGAGAAAACGTTCTGCCCAGAGTCTTAGAGCAGGTATGATTGGTTTCATCTCATCTTGCTATTTTCTTCTTCCCTTGAGGAGTCCATCAGGCAACGTGTGATGTCTTGTTGTCTCTCAAGCCTCTAAGCTTAGTCCATATGTTGGTACAGGTTGTCAATTGTAAGGATGAACCGGCACAGTATTACTTGATGGATTGCATAATTCAGGTCTTCCCAGATGAGTACCATTTGCAGAGTCTGGAGACGTTATTAGCAGCTTGCCCGCACCTTCAGGTGGCTTGTTCTCCTCTCGAAGGACTTAATCCTCATTCCATCATTTGTTGCGTTAGATCCATGACTCCACCATTCAGAATGTAGGGCATCTTTGTTATTATGCTATCTGGCACAACCTTAACCCCGCAATATGAATTGCCATATCGTATGGGCTGCTATATATTAAGTTGCGAGTCTCACGATTGAGGTGTTTTCTTCTCTTTTGTTGAATATGTCATTTTATTAATAACTAGATTCCACCTACGGAAAAGAAACTTTAACTAACACAGATGACTACCTTCTGAAACTAGTTTTATAATGCTGAAAAATTGATGTCCAATTCAAGATGATGTTGGACCACTAATGGAAAGGAAACTTCTGTGTGAGATACCCTTGCATCAGGTTGACATACTGATACCTCTCGTGTTAATTCCAGCCAAGTGTAGACGTCAAGACTGTTCTCTCTCAGTTGATGGACCGATTGTCCAATTATGCATCCACTTGTCCAGATGTGAGTACCTATAACTAGCCCTACTGTTATCTTCCATTACCGTTGCTCACGGTTCTTCTTCCAGGTTATACCAGAGTTCCTGCAAGTAGAAGCTTTTGCAAAATTGAGCAGTGCTATTAGCAAGGTTAATCGCATTTTCCCTTATTTTTTTTTTTTACTTTTGTTTCCAATGGAGTTATTTCATCGGGACTGCTAGTCATAAGCTGACTGCTGCACGTTGAATGACAGGTTATAGAAGCACAAGTTGACATGCCTATTGTTGGAGCCATTACTTTGTATGTCTCTCTGCTTACATTTACTCTCCGCGTTCATCCAGATCGTTTGGACTACGTTGATCAAATACTGGTATATTTCTCTTCTGAAGTAATTATGCGACTCATGGTTATAATAAATTGCTTTGCCATCAAACTACTATAATCTTTTCGAATCAATTCTATTGTTTATAGGGTGCTTGTGTGAAGAAGCTTGCTGGGAAGCCTAGACTTGAAGACAAGAGAGCAACCAAACAAATCGTTCTACTCCTAAGTGCTCCTCTGGAGAAATACAATGATATTGTCACTGCTTTAACACTTTCAAATTATCCTCGTGTTATGGACCACCTGGATAATGAAACAATTAAAGTCATGGCTATGGTTATAATTCAAACCATCATGAAGAACAGTACCTGCATTTCCACTGCTGATAAGGTACATCCTTCACAAATTGGAAACTGAGAAATGCATTGGAAACTTCTTCTACGAATATGTAGTACCTTGGTCTTTGATCTTTGTAGGTTGAGGTCTTGTTCGAATTAATAAAAGGCCTCATTAAGGATTTGGACGTAACAACTGCAGATGAGGTATGAAATAAGCAATCCTTCGTCAGTAGTCGGGTCTCTTCTTCAGAAGTTCCCTTGATTTCCATGTTCATAATTTACTTTGTCTATTCAACTTCATCCCTCCAAGTTGACCTTGATTTCTATCTGTTTGTGGGCACAACAATCTAGCTCGACAAGGAGGATTTCGAGGAAGAGCAAAATTCTGTTGCTCGCCTTATAAACATGTTATACAATGATGACCCTGAAGAAATGTTACAGGTACGTTTAGATTATTTCTTGCTGCACTTTTTAAACATAGGACACCGAGGCTTCCATTTTGCTCACTCAGTTCTCCTTTTATATTCAGATTATTTACACAGTGAGAAAGCATGTAATGAATGGGGGGCCAACGCGACTACCTTTTACAGTTCCCCCACTCGTATTTTCTGCATTAACGGTATGCATTTGTTTTGGCTTTTTAGTAATCCTTCTTTCTCGTTACTAGTTTTAGGATCTAACCACCCCTTGCCGCCCCTTCCTTCCCGCGCATGAAAGTCAAACTACTCAGTTGTTTTATGCAATGTACTTTATAAAGGCTCTATGGGACGACCGGATTAGTATAGAGTTAAGGCTTTTGGAAATAGAACTTACTATGGCTCAAGGTTGAGTTATATTTTATAGAAAATTGATGATGTGGAGGCTGTTCTTTCAATTTATCGGGTGCAAGACTTCGTGTCTGGGGTTTGATTGTTTAAAATTATCTACATGGCACACAGCTTATCAGACGCCTGCAAGCTCAGGATGGAGATGTAGTGGGAGAGGAAGTGCCTACAACACCAAAGGCAATTTTCCAGCTCTTGAATCAGGTAACTCTTTTGACACATGATTTAGCAGATGCTGGAATCCATGATTTATCTCTCAATGGGCTTAGGTAGTTGCTCATTGTGTAAGGCATGCTCTCAAGTAGGATAGCATATTTCGGATTCTGAATTTGTATGTATGCACATGGGCAGTTAGCCTTGCTGAAACGGTGTTTCCCTTGCATTTGCCGTTTCAACTAGTGGAACATTGTACCATTATTTGTAGTTTACCTTTTCTGTTAAATAGTTTAATTCCGTTATGCAATATTGGTATATATGATACCCTTCTTGGTACTCACGGTGAAAATAATTTACTTTTCCTCAGACTATTGAAACTCTTGCAGTTGTTCCATCACCCGAGCTGGCATTAAGGTTGTTCTTGCAATGTGCTGAGGTATGTATGGTCAACCCTTCTAACAATTTAAGATTTTGGAGATGAGGACAAAATAAATACAACGGACGAGAGATTTGCATTGATTTTTCAATCTCTTCTTCCTTCTGTGCTAAATGCTGGAAAATTCAAAGACGAGCACACTGTTCACTCCTTCATTTCTTCCTGGCTTCTAATCCATGTTGGTTTTCTCCTATGATCAGGCAGCTAATGACTGCGAGCTTGAGCCAGTTGCTTATGAATTTTTCACCCAGGCTTACGTGCTGTATGAAGAAGAGATTGCTGTAATCAATTACTACTCTTGCTATCAATCCATCTGCTGAATTGAATTCTCTGAATTAACAATTCATTTAGAATGGTTCCTTCCATCTCCTTTTGCACTGAATAAAATTACTATATTTCCTGCAAATTAGGATTCCAAGGCTCAGGTGACGGCTATACATCTAATCACTGGAACTCTCCAGAGGATGCAAGTATTTGGAGTTGAGAACAGGGATACATTAACACACAAGGCCACTGGAGTAAGAATCCTTAACTCTCTCCCTCTCAGTAACTTGCTCCTCTATTTATGCTAACAAATCCCGTGTATGACCTGGCTCTTCTTTACTCTGCAAGTATTCTGCAAAGCTTCTGAAGAAGCCTGACCAATGCCGTGCAGTTTACGCCTGTTCCCACCTCTTTTGGGTCGATGACCAGGATGGGGTCAAGGATGGAGAAAGGTCCATTTTAGAATCTGCATTTTCATCGGACTTTATACTCGAGTCAACATCTCTGACTTTGTGTGCCTTCTAATTTGTAATTTCAGAGTCCTTCTGTGCCTGAAGCGGGCGCTGAGGATCGCAAATGCAGCCCAACAAATGGCCAATGCTGCCAGGGGGAGCAGTGGCCCAGTTACACTCTTTGTCGAAATACTAAACAAGTAAGCTGGCCCCGAACACAGCTTTGAAGTTGACATCGTTTTTTTTTTTGTCTATTAAATTAACTAATCTTTCATGTCTTCCTGGCTTCCTGCAGGTATCTCTACTTCTTTGAGAAGGGCAATCCGCAGATCACAAGTAATATGATCCAGGATTTGGTTGAATTAATAACCGAAGAGATGCAAAGCGACTCTGTCACCGCCGATCCAGCTTCTGACGCTTTCTTTGCCAGCACGCTCCGGTACATCCGGTTCCAGAAACAGAAAGGTGGTAGTATGGGTGAGAAATTCGACTCAATTAGCGTCTGATTTCTCGCATTGCATGCACTAAAATTATTTGTTTTCTTGGGTTTGAGTAGAGAGAAAGGAATGCTTGCGTGTTGTACAAAAGGAAAAAGGTTTGTGTTTGGTTTCATTTTCTGAAGTTGGGGCATAGAAATGTGTGGTCGATTAGAAAGAGGGGAAGAGGAAATGAATGGGGGTAAAATATGGTGGCTGGCTGAAATCAGTGTGTTATACTTCATTGTTGCTTCTAATTAACAAAGACGTGTCTAATGATAGGCCACGCTTTCACGGTTCGTATTCGTACTGAAAATCAAATACGTGTCTAATGTGATACACGTAATTCGAGTGGATGGGTTTGCAACGCGTTCTGAACAATAACGACATATGATGCTTGGGCAGATTAGGCCGTTTGCATCGAAGCCCATTTGTTATTAAGGCACATAATATCAGATCCAACTTAGAAATCAGATGTGCGGAGTCGAACAGAACGACAGGTAAGAGCACTGCCTGCCGCCTGCACAAAGGGTTACGAATGTCTCTGAAATGTATCATTTGAAGGTGCTCAATTTGGCGTCAACCAAGTTGATTCGATTTAACAAGTTAGCTTAGCTACCATTTGAAGAAAACAAACAAGGTATTGTTCCAAAAAAGATAACTTCGTGAAGATAAATTGATATAACAAATCTGATCAAGCCTCGACTGTTTGTAATCTAATAACATGCCTCTCTCAATGTTAGCTATTTACGTCAACAGAACGACTTCATCGCCCACCGGGAAAATAAAATGTTTCACCCAATTTACGATCTCACAAAGCCAGAAATGCAGCAAATGCAAAGGCAGACGAACTAATGGCGCTCGCTCGGTACCTAATGTCCAAGGGCCATGCAGCAGATCTATCTCCCAAGCAACAGCATGCCAAGTTTATCTAAGTACCATTACTCAACCACTCATCAAGTCATTGTTAGATTATCACAAGACAGTTTCCAAACAGCAAGGACATCAAGAATACTTCAACTACAAACCTAAACAAACGTTGTCCCTCAACCTCGGACAGTGTCTTTCAACTTTCAAGTCGATGCAGACCAGAATCACAAAACTTAGGCTCCGACTTTCCCAAATGTCCACCCCCAGCCTTATGAAATAGCTGTCTTTTACCTCACCGTACAACATAATTTTGAAGTGCTAACACAGGTTTCACACCTCACTGAAGTCGAGACTCTAGACCTTCATTCCTATAACCATTTTCCGTCGGACAAGTATGAACCCGTGAGTGACATGGTTTGATGCAAATGATACATGTTCAGACAAGGGGCACAAACAAAGAAAGCATGCTCGAAAGGGAATGCAGTTCAAAATCAAATACATAAGACAACATTATGTAAAAAAAAGCAAGACACAGAGTCTGGAATTTCCATCCTAAGAACACATCCCTCAAATACAGAAATACTATACAATAAAAGGATTTCTCAGCTTCCCAATTTCAGCGCCAGGTCAGACAAAAGACGATAATGAGAAGTTACCTACGGATAGCTTGGGAAGAGAGGCTTTCTTCCCGCTTTGAGATAGTCAAATTACAATATGGAACAATTCTTTTGTCCCTTTCTCTTCTTCTTCTTTTGCTTTGGAGGCTGGAGAACAACCTTGATGGCCGCATCAAACACGGCCTTCACATTCTGGAAAAGTAACATTTCAGGTTACCAATATAATAGGAATATTTAAGCATGGATGCCTTGAACCAAAATGGCAGAGCAGCAAGCTGTTACCTGCTGTGTTTTAGAGCTACATTCGATGTAGGCTGGAGCTCCAATCAGTTTCTTGAGTTCCTCTCCCTTAAGCAGAAAGCCAATAGTCAGAGAGACAAATTTTGGAAGAGAAGCGGAGAGGCACTATAAGAAATAAAACATGGCCTTTTTACCTGAGCAGTAGTAATAGGCACTGCACCAGGATGGTCAGCAAAGAATTGGTTATCCTCTCGTAGATCTATACAGTTCGAGAACAAATAAGAAGCATACATAGGTTTTCAAGGAACTTCTTAATGGAACGTTAGAACTGAAATAGAGTACTGAAAGGCTTACCTAGTTTTGTTCCGACAAGGATAATAGGAACCCCAGGTGCATAGTGCCTCAGTTCTGGAATCCACTGCACTCAACAGCAAGAAGACTTTCCATGAGCATATACAAAAGAAGAGATCTCTTGAACAACAATAAGCTGTCAACCAACACATCCGGACCTTTTTGGCAATGTTTTCATAGCTGGCCTTACTAATAAGTGAAAATGCAAGAATAAAGACATCCGCTCCTCGGTAACTCAATGGCCTCAGTCTATTGTAATCCTCCTGGCCTGTTCAGAGCACAAGGAAAAATCCAAATCAAGAAAGCTCACCAGGCAAGCAGATAATACAATAAAACCTATAGCAAGAACACTGAAATTACCAGCAGTATCCCATAGCCCCAAGTTGACAGTGCTTCCATCCACGACAACATTCGCACTGAAATTGTCAAATACGGTTGGCACGTAATCCTGGTTTTCACCACAAACCAAAAAAAAAAAAAAAAAAAAGAAGCAGTAAGAAACATATCAATAACAGAAAGTTCGGCAATAGCATCAAAATTCCATACAAGCTGGAAAGGGAGAGGACCGAGGTGTTGTGACCATTGACACTTAGTTTAGGCCTTACTAAAATGAGTTCTTCCGAATTTCGATTCAGATTCAAGCGCAGTCAAGCCTACTTTTGTAATTATGGGATTAAATTAAGAAAATAGCCAACTGGATTTGAAGTTTGAACTATGGACTGATGACTCCACAATTCAACTACCAGGTCAACACGACATGGAAGCTTTCACAACCAGCTAACTGAAATTCCCAGGAATTTTCAAGCAATTCGAAGCTCAACATCGAGCAATTTCTCCCCTACAGAAGAGCAGGACCAAGAGTGTTTAAGCAGCAGCCGCTAGGTCTACAACACCTCAAGAGAACAAACAAGTTCTTACTATTCAAACAAAGTCAACACTATACCAAGTAATTGGCCAATGAACTCCAAAAATAATATGAAAAATTCAAAAACAGCACCCTCTAACACCGAGGACCTCAAGTAATTCAGTGTTCAAATTCAAGAGACTATTTCTTCCTAACAAGAACAGGATCGAAGTTGTTTCAACATCTCCGGCAAGGTCTCGAACTTGTTAAGCTAACGAACAAGTTCTTCCATCGAGATTCAAGCGAACAATCATCCAATTTTAACTTCAGAGAACACAGCGAATGCGAGAGAGAATTCACAAGACGAGCTGAAGAAAACAGCCGATCTAAGCTACTCGAATGAAAAGTCTCTCCAGCTCAAATTCGCGCCCTAATTGACCGCGGGAACCAAAAACAGGAAGCGTAGCGAACTGAAGAGACGAAGGAACAGTAGATTTAAACAATAGGAGGTATGAGCTAAACGCCGGCGATTACCGTGGGGAAAGTGTTGCTGGTATACGAAATCAGCAAGCAGGTCTTGCCGACGGCGCCGTCACCGACGGTCACGCACTTGATGAACCTCGAAGCGCTCATTTGCAGCTGCGGCGGCTCAGATCTCTCTACTCCAGCTGAGAGTAGCAAACCAACGAAAATGCTCCTGTTTCAGCTCGCCCCTTCGCGATTCGGAGTCAAATGACAGTTCCGAAGTCAACGAAGCTCATAACCAGCAGGGGAATTCCGGAGATTGGAGAGTCTAACAGCCGGCAGGAACCGCCATTGGACGAAATCGGAGAGAGAGTCTTGTGAACTGAATCAGCGAGGAGGTGGTCGAGGGATTCAGAGAGCAGCCCTAACTTCTAGAGAGAGAGCGTAGCTGGTGGTTTGAAATACGGGAGAGGAGAGAGGGAGCAGGCGAGGATTGGGTGATGGCTTATTTCCTTTTCGGATGAAACGAATTGAATTGAATTGAATTGAATTTGTCTTGCCTGCAGCAGTAGGCAGTAGCGGCTGTGTGACCTGCCCGGTTCCCCCTTCCCAACTGCCCGTTTGGACAGTGCGCTTTGGATTCTCCTTCTTTCCTTAGGCTGGGGCTGGGCTGTATTTCTATTTCCCGAAAAGTCCAATGAGGGATAATCTCTGTTTTTATTTATTATCTGTTAAATTTTGATGGATGAAATTTTTTATTATAAGGATGGTATAAATTCGTTTTTATTAAGTGTATTTAAAAGTTTGTATATGAGAATTTTGGTAAAAATTTGTAAAAATTTATATTTCGTATTCTGACATATTAGTTTTGGTGATATTAGGCTTGAGTTCAAGTCCTTAAGCCTCATTTCTTAAGGAAAATCTTAAAGCCTTCATGTTGGTTGATAGTAGATTAGGTAGTTAATGGGGGTTAGTAGTTAATAGGTAGTTAAGGATAAATAGGGTTATGCAAATATAATTAAAATTAATATAATTAATTCATGATTCTCTTTCTCTCTCCTCCCATGATTTTTTCCATAACCCTCTCTCTACATTATAATTAAAAAGAAATATGAAATTAATTTTATTTAATATTTAATAAAATCCGAATTTAATAATTTTCTTTTTTCTAAAATGGAAATTTGAAATTTAAAATATATGCCTCTCTCACATCTTGGCAACTTCCGATTAGTATTAAGTATTAACATTTTGTAATGACATTATCAATATTTATAAATTAAAACATCATTAGGGCTTTTCATTGCATGGGTTTGAGATTTTTCGTTGTTAGGTATTCGTTTGTGTTATTATTAATGTTGTTCGACATATTTTTTAATAATTATATATGACATTGTTAACTTTTTATGTTTTGTTTTGTTTTGTTTGTAACATTAGTAAAAGTGAAATTGTGTTTTCAATTTGTTGGTATTTGAAGTTTATTTACTATTACATCGTATTATCAATTTGGTTCGTAAAGATTTATAATCATTTGAAGTGCTATTATCAATATTTTTTTCCAAGCACAATACAACCATTAGCAAAAATTTAATTCATTTGTAAGATTGCTTATGTTTAGTGATTTGAATTATTAATATTTTTTCGTTTATGTTTGTAACTTTGTCAAATGTCATTATCAAGAAGCATACTTGTTAGATATTCGTTTGTTTATGACATTATAAAAAGTGAATTTACGTTTAATGATATAACTATGGTTATTAATCTTTCAGTCTAAGTTAGTAACGTACTTTGGTGTCATTATTAATAGGCGTGTATAAGCATTATCAATGTTTGAAAATAAGATATTAATAATATCTAATAAGATACTTAACAATCATTAGTTGCTATCATTATCAAAGTTTTGGGATGCATTATCCATTAAACACATGTTACTTATTAATGCATTTTTAGTGCTATTTGACATTAAATATTGCATCTGAATATTATTAATATTTTTATATTACAAAAATCTATTTCCTTATCAGTGACTTGATCATTCGATATTAATGGTCTTTAATATCTTTATTAAAAGTTTGATGTCATTTATAATGTTGAAGTCGGACATTTTTAGATTGATGTTTTGTGTTTATTTTCAACAAAATACTTTTCGTTATCAATGATTTATTGTATTGTTATTATAAGTTTGGTGTTGAGGCGTGAATGTTGGTTTGCTTGAGCTAATATTTTTCTGGACAATGTTTGTTTGACTGAATCACACAGGTGCACTATGTCACAAGTACCCAAGATGTTGAAAATTAGTATTGTGCTTTATGATCATTGAGAATAATAATGTAAAGCAATATTAATTGATCATTAAACGTTAATAATGTCATTTGAAATCATTGGAAGAGGCCATGACTAGATAGTTACAAACATGATGTGAAAATGTGAATCATTAGTACTAAAGATGTTGTAAATCAATGATATTGTTATTCAAACTATTAATGACTATGTTACATAACTTTAATGATTCATTCATATGCGTTGATGACGAAACTATAAAACAGTAACAATTGATCCAAAATTGTTAATAATGTAATTGTAAGGAATTGATAAGTATATTGAAGTCGTTAATAATGATGAGGTATAATAATAACGATTCATTTCATAAATGTTGATAATGTCATTGCAAAATGTTAATACAACATTGCAAGTTGCCACGAAGTGAGAGATAGCATATATTTTTAATTTCAATTTTCATTTTAAAAAATAAATAATATTAAGTTCAAATTTATTAAATATTAAATAATAATATTTAATTAAATTAATTTCGAATTTTCTTTTAATTGTAGTGGAGAGAGAGGGTTATGGAGAAGATCAAGGGGGGAGAGAGAAAGAGAGTCATTAATGAGTAATATTAATTATATTTTCATAATATCTTATTTATTTCAACTAACTATTAACTACTAACCACTCATTAACTACCTAATCTAGTATCAGCCAATAAAAATGATTTAAGAACCTCCTTAAACAATGAGGTTTAAGGACCGGATCCAACCCGGTGATATTATGTTCTTTTGTGTACCTTCTATTTGATCATTCAATTGAACTTGATTAGTCTTATCACGAATTTTCAATAATTTTTTTTTATTTTAACTCATGATTTATATAACATCCCGAACCTTTTTCCGACGAAAATATTGTTCGCTTTGGACCTCGACCCTAACGGTTTTCGACTTGGCGTGCAATTCAAGGTGACTTCCCATAAGGTCAACCATCTTTGTTGTACTCCACACTGAGCACGTTTAACTTTGGAGTTCTCACAAGAACTCCTCCATTTCACCCCAAAATGCGTCTTGTCAGTTAAGGTGACTTGCAAGTCACCGTGCCTTGAAAAAACGGTCTACCGAAAAGAAATCGCGGTCGACCACTTACACCAACATGTCCATTATAATGGAAAATTACTGTCGACCAACATCAGCGAAGAGGTCGACATTTTTCCCCAAAGAGGTTAACCAGATTGCGAGAGGGTCGACTTGATATTCTGAGAAGCAGATCAAAACACCAAATTAAACTGTGCAATTATGGTATGAACTAAGAGAATGATCGAACGCTCACGGTAGAGGTCGGCTAATTGAGGATGCATATCTTAAACCAACGTTGTCGACCTTGTGCCCTAAAGAGGTCGATCGGTCTAGCTTACACTATGGTTAACCTATCAATAAACATGAATTCCATAATCACCTTTTATATTCTTCACCAAAGTCTAAACCTAGAAGAATATAATTATCCGAGTTCTTGAATGATAAACCTAGAACTTATATGCTTATTTTGTAGACGCTTATGCTCAACTTCGGTCGCTTAGCAAAGTTATTTTCGAATACTCATAAGGTGTCCCACCGGTCGACCGTTTGTCTCAATGATTGACCGTATTTTTTCCTTTGTCATAGGAGTTCAAGTTCAACACTAACAATGCAATGCTATAGTGATAGACCCTTGTATTTATGAGGTCGATCATTTGTTGAACATAGCAAAATAGAAAATAGTATATTTGGTCGACCATTCTAGTAAAGCGGTCTACCATTTTTTCCAAAGAACTCCACCATTTTATCCAAATAGCTTCTTTTGAATCCAAGAATTGTTAAGGATGTTAATTGTGAAGGTGTGGTAGGGTTTGAGTTTCCATTCATTCTGGATTTGCTGCTCTCTTAACGGTAGGAAGTACGAAAATAAGTTGAATCAGTTTGTGGAATGGAAGAGGAAAAAGATGGAATGAAAATAGTATGTTTTACTTTAGGATATTATGGTATTTGTTTCTTTTATGGTGTCAAATACCATATGAAAATTACTCTTTCTTTTCATTCATCCAAACAATATAATTCTACTTTCAAATTTATCACATAACACACATATATCACATTTTAAAAATTGTGGATTATTTGTGAACAAATACCACACCACGACAAATCATCCATCCAAATGACCCCTATGCTATTTGCCTATTTGGCTATTTGTCATACGATCTTATTGTGAAACTAATCAAATTTATGTAGGCCAAGCCTAATGATCATTATGTTACCGTCAACCATAAATGATGGACATGAAATGGGTCGAACGTTAATTTTTTGTCTGCTATAAAAATGACAAGTAAGACCAGCAAATTGGGGGTGTCCAAATGATGAGGATGGATTTTGGTGACGACATCCTTGTATAATATTTTTCTCTTTTCATTTGGGGCTTCATTGGTCATCGATGGTCCAGATCCGTTGTGGTAATTGTGGCTCCTTTTTATGGATGAATATTGCTAAAGAACATGAGTGCCATCGACCTATGAAATTGATTGTGCTAAAAGAAGATTACAACAAGGAAGTATCTATAATGTTAATTTTATAACTAGGTTGGCCTAGCCGTGATGTAATACCGGGCCATTATGATATGCAATATGAATCATTTTGAACAGATACGAAAATCAACTATTTTAAAATAGTATGGTACAAAGTAAAAGTTTTGTAGCCATTAAATAAGTTATCTTATTCTTTTGCCGACCAAGGAATCAAACACAAAAAAGATGAGTTGCGAAATCACTTCTCTGTATGCATCCTGTTGAAGCCACGATGCTCCGAACCTTGCTTTTCCTCCTTAACAAAGGCACTTCCTGTCAGGCGCACAGATCCTGCACAGGCAAACGCCTATTGGGCTTGGAACTGCCCGTTAGCACTCCGACGCTTAAGCCAAAGCCTGCTTTTAGAGAGATAAGTAATCTGAGAGTTTTTAGTGAGAGAAGCCAACCTGCGTAAATGCTACCTACCGAGTACTATTTATACTCGTCGAGGTTCCGACCAGGCTCCTGGAATCCAGCTCCACGTCAGCGCGTCATTAAATGCCTGGTACGGCCCAACGGTCGGGCACCTACACGTGGCAGCTCCCGGACCCTGGCGCCCAGGCGCCTGGCAGGACCACACTTCCAGGTGGCACGCTCTCAGCCTCTTGGTCCCGTGGCAGCATGGTCCCCGCGTCTTCTTTGTCGTTACGCGCCCGCTCCTCCGCATTTGGGCCCAACTCCTGCTTTGTCACTCATGCCCTCAATTGGGCTTAGGCCCAACCAAGTCTCTTGAGCCCATGTCCCCCATGAGTTCATTCATACTTATCCAATAATTGTCCCCCAGTTAGGCGCTCATGGTTGACAATGGGCGCCTAACTATATATATCACATGAGTTGTTGTTTCGACAAAAGTTACCGTCCCTCTTAACTCAGTAGGCGCCTGACCTCACTCCACACTCGGTCGCCCTCAACCAACCATTCTTCGTATCCGGCTCGGATTCGCAACGCCCATTTCTTGTTACATAGGCGCATTACCTATCTCAATATCCGGGCGCTTTGTTGACAAAAATTGAGGTGTTTTTGCACAGTCATCCTATGTATCTAACTCAATAACTGATCTTTCAAGCGCCTATCCGCGTGTATCTCACTCAATAACTACCCTTTCAAGCGCCTATATTCAAGCGCCTATATCCGCCCCTCGTCGTGCGCTTTCTAACTTCAAAATTCGAATTTTGGGTTTTGAATAATTTTGGAAAATCAAAATTCAAATTTTGAATTTTGAACGGACGGTGAGGATGAAGGGACTTGATGGCGCGCATCCCTATATCAGACCGTTGGGATTCCTCTTTCTATAAAAGCAGTCGGCCGCCCCCCTCCCTTGTCCATTCGCTCTCACTCTTTCTCTCTCTAAACTTCTCTCTCTATCGGCCAGGCGCCTTCCTCTCTGAAATCCCAAAATTACAACTATGTCGAAGCTACCTAGCCCAGGTGCCCCTTCCGGAGATGCGCCTCCGAACGATGGCCAGGCGCTTGATGTGATAAAACTGTTGGAGAAGCACTTCTCCCCCGATCCCAATCGAGAATCGGGCGGGTGGACGCCTCGTGGTAGCAAAGAGGTGCCCGCCAAAGACGGTGGTTCTTCTTCCGTGGTGGCGCCCAACAGTTCTCGCGGGCCAGCAATTGAGACGGGATCCTCAGTCGCCGCGGCGCCCAATAAGCCAAATACGGCGCCCAGCAAGCAGAATACAAGTGAGTTTTGCCCACTTCAACTGTTCCGCCCCCTTTTTTTTAGGCGCCCATAGCTATCTAGGATAGTCGAATTGACCCTGCCCCATTTGCGTCAACGTTATAGGCCATGCGCCTAGATCTCCACAATCGTCCGAGTTGGAGATGTCCCCCCTATCGACTGACTCAGGCGCCTCAGAGGATGAGTCTGTGAGAATTAAAAATTGGGCCGACACGTGGCCAGAAGGGGAAGCGCCCCTTGAGACCTGCCACTTGACCGTTGCAGAGGCCGGGCCGTTGCACGTGTCGACCGTCAAGGCTCTCGAGTTGGAGAACTTGGCCGTGTCTTTGCAACTTCCACGCGCCTGGTCTTTTGTGCCTGCGCCGCGCGTGGCAAGGATTGGGGTGGTCGGCCCCCGTTGGCTTGGAATCTACCGGGAATATTTCCGCTTCGGCTTGCGGTTTCCGTTAGATTCAATCCTCGAAGGCATATTAGAATTGTGTCAATGCTCACTTGGGCGCATATCCCCTTCTGTTTTCATTATCCACATCCTCTTCAAGTTGAAGTGTCGGCAGCATAATATCGTACCCACCTTCAAAATTTTTCACCACTTCTTTACCCTGGCGCATAGCGACAACTGCTTATCTTTGCAAAGGCGCATTGACATTCACGGGCACTTCTTATCAGATTCTCCAAAGTTAGGCCGGGAATGGTTGAGAGCCTTTTTCTTCATTAAGCCGCGCAAAGAGTCCTTCTACGAGAGTGGGCGTTCATTCACCCGAGGTTGGGCGGTTGGCGACGCGGAGATGTTTAATGTTGAGGCGCCCTTGACCACGGACGAGGAAATTGAGAGCGCACGCCTTCTATCACTGCACCCCGTGGACTTAAGCTCTACCGCGTCTAGAACGCATGTTCTGCACGAGTACTACCGCGATGGTGGGCGCCTATCACCCGTTTGAACATTGCTTTTTGCTTCTTTTGAACGTTAACCTTGCGCACTTAACTTTTTATCGGGTGCATTGTGTTGTGCACTGAACTTTACTAACGCCTTCGCTGCTATGTGTTTTTGTGTAGGTGCGGACTTCACTTCCATGGCCACTCTGATGAAGAGCCAGTTTGCGAAGATGGGGATGGCAGCAAAGGTGGCGCCCATCTCGAGAAAAGGTCGGTCAAGGGGCGCCCAAGCCTCGAAGGGGGATACATCGAAAGCGGCTAAGGATGCTGTTGGTCAATCACAGGCGCCTGAACCCGAAGCCGTGAAAGGAAAGGGGCGTGCAAGTAAGAAAGGGAAATCCCCAAAGAGGATCAAGCCCGACAAAGTTCAGAGCGCCCCCCTGACCGATGCTGGGATTGACTTCTTAGAAGTCCAGGAGGATCAGGCGCCTGTTGACACATTGCCCAAAGGAACATCGACGCCCATCGACCTTCTGCAAGAAATTGAAGTAGCGGAGGATGACATTCCCTTGATCAGAAAGCTCAAGAGGAAATCAGAGGGCGCCCAGGATGTATCGGGTAAGAAGCCTCGAGTTGATGACGATACGCCTCTTCTGGAGTCTATCCAAAAGTGGCTTCAGCCTCCGAAGCACAAGGTGACTTTGGAATGCTCCGACAGATCTGCTTTGGAGCGGGGCCCCGCAATTCACATGGCATTGGCCGCCGGGGATGTGCTTAGGGCGCCTCTTGACCTAAAGGGCGCCGATCCATGGGGTGAGATGTGTCGAATAAGCGCCCATGTAAGCATGCGTTTGATCCTCAATGATTAATAATTTTGCCTTCATCGTTTTCAATTGATATATGATCATCTTATGTGTCTTATTTTGTAGATGATGGTCGTGGCCAAGAAGGGCATCTTGGAGCGGGAGGCCCTACGCGCCTCCACCAACGAGGCGTCCACATCTCTTGGCGTTGCCCAAGACAATCTCGCCACTGCTCAGAATCGCCAAGAAGAATTGGTGAAAATGTGCGAGGATGCCCAGCTTGAGGCGGCCAAGAGCGCCTCTCTTATTCAACAAAAAGTTGATGAAGAGAAGAGGAAGTTGCAAGAGGATTATGAGGCGCGGATGGAGGTCGAGAAGAGGGAGCATCATGAGCTGATGGCCAATTTGGAAAAGGAAAAGCAAGATCTTGAAAGAAAGGCGGGCCTCTATAGGAGCGAGATTGATCTTTTGACCCAAGAAAAGGGGGATCTGAAGAAGGAGAATAAGCGCCTATATTCAAAGATAATAAGAAGTCGGCGCTGGAGATCAAGGCGCTTGAGGAGGAAAAGCAGGAGCTCACGGCCGAAAAGGGGGTGCTCGAAGCTCAGTCAGCGGATTTCGCTAAGTCTGAAGCAGGCCAGGCGCTTAAGGCTGAGACTGCCCTGAACTCAATTTTGATTCTGCAAAGGAAGCTATCAGCCGAGCATCCTGACATTGATTGGGACGTCCAATCCATGGTGGGGTTCGTCATTTCCTTTATGGAAAGCGGGCGCCCAGTGGTGGACGAAGCGCCTGGTTCCGGGAATAATGATGGTGATAATAACGAAGGTGGTGAGAACTCTGCCTCTGACTCTGGGAGTGGGTCGGCCGAGTAACTCCTAGTTTACATCAATACCAATAAACCTTCATTTTATTTTTTGTAAGGATGATGTCCATTGGGGCACCTACCCCTGGATTTATAACTTTGAATGTGAACTTGGCTATGTTTATCATCTCATTTTGTTTGACTAAGGTTTCTTTTATAAGCTTGGGCGCCGGTTAGCAATTCGATCCATTTTGCCAATCTTGGGCGCTATAGGGTGGGGCGCTTTGTTCATGCTTGCACTCTTCCCTTTTCCTCCAACATCATACCTCATATATAATTAATCCGACTCTGCAACATAAGGGGCTCAAAGGGAGGGCGCTTTACACGAAGTGGGCGCAAGAGGGCGCTTTACAAAATAAAGGGCGCTTTGCTCAAGCTTGCATTCTTTCTCAACACTCTATTCCATATAATTAATCCAATTTTGCAAAAGTATGAGCGCAAAAGGAGGGCGCTTTACAAAATAAAGGGCACATAAGAAAGGGCGCTTTGATTCTACGGCGCATTAGGGCGCTTTTGGAGACAAAAAGAAACCTACTAATCACTGGAGACTTGACACTGACAACTTTCCTTCCGTTTCTTAGCAAGGCAGGGCGCCTACTCTGTTGTCCCAGACATTGTATCCAATTCCTCTTCGCTCTCATCACCCGTCATGCTTGACTCCCCAGCCTCATATCTTCGCAAGTTTTGTGCGTTCCATGTCCGCTTCACTTTCTTACCCGACAGGTGTTCCAGTTTGAATGTACTAGGGCCAACGACCTCCTGAACGCGATATGGACCTTTCCACTTTGGGGCCAACTTTCCCTCGGTAGCCTTTGGGCGAAAATCGCGCTTTAGCACCAGACTTCCTTTCACAATGTTACGTGCCCGCATTTTGTTGTTGTAATACCTTGCTACTTGCCCTTTCATTGCTTCCAAACGTAGGGCTGCCGCCTCTTGGCGCTCATCTAACAGGTCTAGCTCATCGATTCTCTCCTGAACATCCATTGAATCGTTTCGGTGGGTCATTCTGAAGGTCGGAACTCTCATTTCCACTAGCAGGACGACTTCACTACCATAAGTCAATGCAAAAGGTGTTTCTCCCGACGCCACCTTGAAGGTAATCCTATGCACCCACAAGACGCTTGGCAGCTCCTCGACCCACTTGCCTTTCGCCTCCTCTAACATTGTGTGCAACCCGTGTAACATGCTTTTGTTGGCTGTTTCAGCTTGCCCGTTAGCTTGAGGGTAGGCTACGGACGAGAACCGCAAGATCACTCCATTCTCATCGCAAAATTCAATGAACTTCTTGCAATCAAACTGATTCCCGTGGTCAGTGACGATGGATTCTGGGAGTCCAAATCGTGCAAAGATGTTCTTCTTGGTAAACTTCCGCACTTGCGCCTCCGTGATTGACGCCAATGGTTTTGCTTTAATCAACTTGGTGAAGTAATCCACCGTGACAATTAAATACTTGAACTGCCCAGGCGCCTTCAGGAAGGGTCCCAAAAGGTCCATACCCCATTGAGCGAAAGGCCAGACGCCCACATTTCCTTGCATGGGTGCCGCTGGGAGATGTATGTCGTTGGCATGAATTTGGCATTGGTGACATGCCGCAACGTGTCTCCGAGCATCCGCCCGTATTGTTGGCCAATAATATCCTTGGCGAAGCAAAATCTTCTCAAGACTCCGGGCGCCTGCATGCATGCCACAAGTTCCTTGGTGCACCTCGTTGATTGCTTGTAATCCCTCGGCATCGGTTAGACACCTCAGGTAGGCGCCTGAGTGTGACCTTTTGTACAATACCCCATCCACTATGGTGCACCGAGTTGCCTTCCGCCGCAGACGCCAGGCTTCCTTCGAGTCCTCCGGAACTACTCCTTGTGTGAGAAAGAGCCAAATTGGCGCCATCCATCCTTCTCCAACCACCGACGATATGGACGCCATCATCACGTCCTCGTGTGGCACCTCCTTCGTCACAATCACAGTTCGATTCTCCTCAAAATCCAGGGCCATGGCCAGCTTAGACAAGGCATCTGCATGGGCATTCTCTTCTCTTGGGACATGTGTGAATGTGACTTCAGGAAACCAGGCGCATTTCTTGCGAACAGAGTGCACATAGGCGCCTAGCGATTCCTCCTTTACCTCATAGATTTCGTGCAACTGGTTGACCACTAGCGCTGAGTCGGATTTGATGTTCACCCTCTAAGCACCTAATTCCCTGGCCATGTGGAGCCCTGCCAAGACAGCCTCGTATTCCGCCGCGCTGTTTGTTTTGAGCGCCGCAAAGCGCAATGCTATTTCATGTAGGGCGCCCAAAGGACTCACAAGGACGATTCCTGGCCACGCACCTACTCGACTTGCTGCTCCATCCACATGCACTTGCTAACATTCTTCAGCCTCCGTTCCTCCATCCGAGATACCTTCGGCTATGAAATCTGTCAAGACTTGCGCCTTGATGGCGGGACGGGGCGCATAGCCCACATCGAATTCGCTTAGTTGCACAGCCCACTTCACTAGCCACCCAGACACGTCCAT